AGCTAGGCTTGATAATTGCCGTAATAATTGGGAACAGTGGCTCGTTAATCGCACCACCTGTGCTCTGTGCGCTGCATTCCGCTGATCCGCTAGTCTCTCTCTCTCTCTCTCTCTCTCTCTATATATATATATATATATATATATATATATATATATATATATATATATATATATATATAAAAGAGTGCACGCAGGGTAGTAAGTTCACGTGTACCTAGGGCGTGTGTACACGTGCACGCGTGCTTAACGTTAGCCCCGGCTTCCCCGCTGTGGATGAGATACACATTAAATGACGTGTCCGTGCATATTGGTGTCGTGCGAAAACGTTTCGTGCGAGCTTGTAGTTTGTAGCTATACATACTCTTATGTTTTCTCGTGCTCGTCTTTTATTCATGAGTGGTGAATTTCAGCTCTTCGTTGAAATTACAAATGTTATTGTGTTTTTATCCTAAAAAAACATTGTTTTTGTTTTGTTTCGGGAAATATTAATCGAAAATATCTATAAGAAAACCTGTAAATAAATTATGTAGCAAAATCTCTAGTTAATTATATCTATGCACGGCCATACTTTATAAAGGATATTTCAGTTTTATTATTTGAAGCTTACTGCATGAGCAACAAAATCATTTTGCTAATTCAAATCATTTAGAATTCAATACATTTTGTAGAATAAAATAAAGATCAATAAATTATATAAAAATCACATCGGAATGGTGAAATGCTAATAAAGTATCTCTGCATCATTGTTAGCTATAATTCATTGTAGTTATGTTCATTTACTTATTCACCATGGTGTAAATGCAATCACTTAGTGTAACATTTAGTATTCGTTTTCTAATTTCAAACTATATGCGGTATCACTAATACATTCTTTGGTTGAATCATCAACTTTGTTGAAGCGATTAAGAAAAGATTATTCTAAAGAATTGAATTTTAATTTACATATTTTACATTTTCATTAAAGCTGCAAAGTACAGCAATCCACAAACTTATTCGTCCAAGAGCTTTGATTTTAGATTAAGTATTTTCCTGCTTTTTTTGTTTTTCGTTTTCTTGGTCTCAATAGCCTCTGGACCTAATATAGCACAAGCACTGTAGTCACTTTCGGCTTTAAGTAACTTTCTCTAAAAAACAGTCAACCACTTCATGACAATATAGCTTTGAAATATTTAGTACCTTAATATCCATTAATACCTAAGCAAAATCTAAGCGAGATAGCCTTAAACTAACTACACCATACATAGCATAAATACATAAAATGTCAAATGTCAAAAAAAATGTCAAAAAATGTTAAAAAAAAGTGTTTTTTTCTTTTTTCATTTACAATAGAAGATTGAATATAAATTTCATTATGCACACACCACATTTATGCCTTTTATTCAGACCGTGTGCAAAATGAGACTGTGCACCCTCCTTTATGTCTCAATATTTCAAAATATTTCTCGATCTATTCTACACGCATTGATTTTGCGCATGATAAAACTGATATTTTTGTGCACACTACGGGCACACAGATGCCCGTCTACTCACAACATTTGTAATGTATTATAATATAAAGACTAGAACTCTGAAAATAATAATAAAATAATTAAAATGTTATATTACGAGTCGAGTAAGAATGTGATTTGAGTTATTGGGTTGTTCTCTATACTACGTTTTAATTTGAATTCTTAATAATGACAAGTAAACAACTTTAAATAATAAACTGATAACATTTAAGTTAAAATTTCAAAACAGTCTTCAGGCAGAAAATTGAAGTATTCTCACGCGAACAGCAATAATCTCGGGTCAAAATACTTAGAAATTGACGATTCCAGGTTGCCGTTACTAAAATAACACCCTTCGATATCCGCGTGATCAAGAATATACGAATTTCCATAGTAACTTTGATAATTTCATCAGCGAGTATGAGAACATAGTCTGTAAAGACACAAATCTCAATCTCAGAGCGCCGTGCGAGATTTCGCTAAGTCCCATCACATCTATCTAGGAAAGGCCAAAATAGTGTGGTGACAAAAACTTAGAATATCTACTGGGCTTTTAACTTATACATTTGAAGAGGAGATTGATTTAAGCTACTTTTTTCATAACAGTTAACATATTATAAGTTGAGCTAGTAAACATAAATCAATAAGGAAAGGACCTAAGGTAATCACTGAATAAGTAAAACATATCTCACGTACAGGGTTGAAAGTTTAAATCTACGTTTTCGGCATGCTTATTTGCAAATAGCAACTTTATTAAAAAATATACCATCGAATATTCAATTATCAAAGAGCTTCAATAACTTCAACAGCCAAAATATGGCATCAAAATTTTCAGAAAAATCTGATGATTTGATTAATTCATCAATGTAGTTTCCTTTATAATAATAATAATAATAATAATAATAATAATAATAATAATAATAATAATAATAATAATAATAATAATAATAATAATAATAATGCGGAATTGAATGTTGGCGAACTTATTCGAGCTGTAACCATGAATAGGACTGTTGAAGATTTTATTGTGGGTCCCATTTGCAGGGGCCCGATGCCAAAAGGATACGATGCCCAGAATTTATCAGTTTGTGCTGATATATCTATTAACGGAAAACGCAGTGACATTGTAATAAGTTGTAATATGACGGTCCTGTGCGCTGCAAATGCAAGTTATTTTCTCATCGCATGAAAAAATACTTAATCATATGCGCATGAATCAACATCTTTAAACATGTTCGATGTGAGCCGTTAATTATAGAGCATGATGGAAATTAAATATACAATCGTTTGTGAGAACCGCAGCAGAAAGGTCAAACTGCGATTAATTTGCGAAGACTAGGCTAATTAAATATGCTTACACGTGCATAAGTGCATAATTACGTGACTTTCATTTGTTCAATTTTTATAGGCTTAATTAGTACTCTTTGCACAAGTGCCCGCTTACTTTCTGTACCTATATCTCGCACAGTTCATGAGTTTAGTTTTATTTTGTATAAATCTATGCGCGTTTTTCTACGAAAAATCTATATAATTTTCTCAATAAAATTCGGTATCGCTTTCTGTTGATTGCTCTACATAAATTTCTGCTCATATGTTTGCAGATTGTATGCAAGACCATTTCACGAATGAAAAGACTTCTAATTTTTATTTTTATTCAAAAAATTCGCTTGAAACATCGTATCGATGGTACGTTGAAAAATCTATAAGAAAGATAAAGAATCCTGCATTACCTGTACAATCTCATGTTTTGGCATGCCTGAAAAAAATGTATAGATATGTCTATAGAGGTATCGAACTATTCAGATTCTTGGCTCCTAAATTTTTTACAGAAAATCTTTGTAATTTGTGTACATGTCATCTATAAAAATGTGTGCAGTATTTGAACATAATTTGTTGTAAAAATATTTGTACAAATACGTGCAGAAAGAATTCCCAATTGAAGCGGTTAATATAATAATAGACGAAATTTGTCTATAGACGCTGCTGCTGGATTTTGTTTGGAATCGTGCAGTGTTTCGTAGCCATTTACATCCTCACAAACTTATGCACTGATTTCTTTAAAAATTGATGCATAGAAGCATAAATACCTATAGATTTTTCTACATGATTCTATGTTTTTTTATACGCAGTTTCCTAAAGGTCTTTTTCATAAGGGAACAGCCGCTTTTACCAAACAATTATCAAAGCAATTTGTAATAGTGATGGAAAGTTAGAAAACTACTTAATTGCGATCGAGAGGCACAGTAGAACTTTTTCTTTTCCGAGAAGAGCTGATAATTTTGCTGTTTAAATCTTCAGTGATCAATTATAGCGTAGAACTACAATAAACTCTCGTAAAATACCTTCGCTGAAAGTTGCGTAACTGTAAACACATCTCTAATTGGCTAATTAAAAGTTTAGGCCACTCTGGGCGAATTGCGCAGATATCAGTTGTGGCGTTTATAACACGAGACGATGCAGCGGCGTAACAATGCCAACAGCGAAGATGCGTTAGCGAGCGTGGCTGCCGCCGTAAAAGTTTCCAAGCCAGTTAAATCTTCGCGCGCGAAAAACTTAATCGGTACTCGCGCACACAGAGCTACCTAACTGTATAACTAAACTGTAGTTTTAGCTTCTTATATTTTACGGTTCTTTTCGCGCGCGCTCGAATCGAAGCGAGCTCGGTTGGATGAATGAAACGGCGAAGCAGCGGCGCTGAAGACGAGGGCTTCGCCGAGTGCTCGTTTTTTTTTTCTTTGTTTTCTTTTTCTTTACGCAAATAGCTTATGGCTTCGCGTGTACGTGCACGTCAGTTATGAAAATTAAAGGCGCACAAGAGGAATCGGTCTGTTCTTCGCTGTTATTTATAAGACTGCCCGCGTGTGGAAGAGGCCTGGTGCATTCACTGCCGAGGAAATGTATTCTCATCGCAGCATCCTCTGTCAGCCGAGCAATAAGGTAATTGTAGCAGGGAGAGAATCAGCGAACAGGCATGTAGGTAGAGGTGTTCTTAAGGACTCGTTACAATTGAGATGATATTGATTAGATAGCACCATGCGCGGAGAGTTGATGCGCCCAAGTCTGCGAAAGATGCCTGCTCGCCGCAAAAGTACACGACGTGCCGCTATTGATACGGCAATCGAGGCAGAGAACTGTCGTTATGTCGAATCGCTCTGCGTTAATACGATGGCAGACGTCCGAGCGGTTCAATAGCGTGAAAGGGCTCGAGACAGACGAGCTCGAAGGGCATGGTCATGGAAATGATAATGTGCGACTGCAGGGTGCGGTTCGGTTTGTTGCCCGGCACACGACTCCATCTTGAATACTTGACCGTATCGCACGACAATTTCGCGATTTACGCTAATTAGTTAATGGCTCTTGAACGAATGCATGCGCGATTGTCGAAACTCGTTAGCGTGGTGTTTTTTCTTATCTGTGCATCTACTGGCCGTTTTTTTTTCTTCATCTAATTCGTAACTACTTTATCCGTACACAATTTCCAATTGATCATCATTATTTTCTTTTCGGTTGCAGGTAAGTTTCTCAGAGGTGGCTGCACAACTTTCAAAGCTCGAAAGATCGCACCGTAAGTGCATAGTTTAGTCGTATTAATTGCCCTCGATAACCCACTTGTAGTATAAAGGTCGCGTTTAATCTGTGACGATAAATCCCACGGATTCGTGCGAAAGGAGATAAAAACAAGAATGTATAATCCGTCGAATCTAGATCACGGTTGTGTAACGGGTCCAGGGCCGCGACGTCGATGTCACACGTGCTCTTTTCTCTCGTCGCACGTATACACGAATCTTCTCCTTTTACCGACGAGTGGCGCGCGATCGATGGAACTCCGTAACGGGAGAAGTGCTCCTATGCAAATTTCTAGATTTGCAAAGCTCGACAGCTGCATTCGTGCCGCGGCGACGCTGCTCCGGGCTTTGTCTCTTTTGTAAACTGGCCCGGCTTCAAATCAAAGTAAAACGCTTGATCAATCCATCAGAAGCGCGATCGACGAGCGATAACATTTCTCGGGCGGAATATCGCTCTGGCGGAATTGACGAGAGAGGCAAATCTGCTCGGAAGCCGACGCGCGGACAGATTGGATCGGTAATTATTGGCAAGGCGGAGAGACGTTTTTTGTAATGAAATTGCCAGACGTCGACGCGATACGGGGATCTATAAGCGAATGAACGTATCGTTAGGGTTCAAGGCTCTGCGGCGCCACCAACATCGCCATATCTATTAAGACAAGTCTGGCTGTACAGAACGTTTTGCTTTCTCTTAATGACATATTATCGTTCCCCCGTGGATGTGCATTTCTATAAAGCATTTAACGCGCATCGTATTGCGTTAGTTGAATTGTTACCGCGCTGCGGTGATTCGGTAACCGATCGACTACTGGCGCGCGCTGCACGGATGCTTCGACCAGTTGAGCGAGGAGCGCGACGGTTGGGCGCTCTCGATCTCTCAATTTGGCGCTCGCACAGAGCAAGAGGGCAAGGCTGTGCGTCGCGATCGGGATCGACGCGACGTCGCAAACTGCCGCGATAACAGGCGTGCACGTCCACGGCCAGCCGGCCCTGGGGGATATGCGAAAATCAGCGCGGTAAGAGGAGCGTGCGAGCTAAACGAAAGGCAGGAGGCAAGAGCAGCGAGCGACCTCCGCCTCCGTGCTCTCAGCCAGTGCGATTACTCGCGATATGAACTTCGAAGCCAGAAGTACACTGCAGGTATTGACGAAATCGACGTCGCAGTCGAGCGCTCGCTGCACAGCGATGCTCTCGACTTTTATCGGCGCCTCGTGAGCCGGCGATCATCCTCTCTCTCTCTCGTCGGATGAGCAGGGAGGACAAATTTTTGCTCATCCTGGGATGACCTCGGCACCGTATGCGCCAACGCTGCTCAAGCTTGCAGTATCTCTGTAATCAAATGTGAAAGCTATTTAGTGAAAGTTACAACTACAACGATCAGATGATTGTGATGGATACGTGATAATTTGTTTCCGATCGCTATGATCGCTATGGGATGCGAGGCAATGTTCCCGATTGTCTTAAGCACCCAGAAACTGCGTGTGTTGTATGTATGTTTCGCGTTATAACGAGCAGGCTTTCGTTGAATAAATCCGTGGCTGTGTTTTGATACAAATCTTACGGCGGAGAAAATTCGGCTTATTTCGCTACAGTTTTTACTTTCTCTCGTTCATCTTGATCTAATTTTGTTCTTTTCCAATTATATATATTATGCTAGCTACTACACTACACACTACTACAATAAAAGCACACTACTACAATACACCCAATCGAGTTTGCTTTTCTTTTCGCTATTCACGCAGCATTTTCGCTACGTGCAGTTATAAAAACTTAGTACGTCGGAATAAACGAGGTGCTAAAATACATAAGGCACTGTTTAACTTCGCACATTTGCGTTGATTTAACCAAGAGACATCGTCTGGCTTATAACAAAAGACGTCGCTGGCAATAAAAGAGAGTCTGTTTTACTTGTTATACGCGAACGGTTACGTCTCCGCGGAGAGTCGTTTTTTAAAGTACACGCGCTTTCCCTTGCTGGGCTTTCGCTCACATGCGCTCCGACGTTAACGTCAAATCGAAGCAGGGAAGCTTCTTCTACTGCACTTTCTACGTACGATTGGTGTCTACATAAACCACTGCTTGAATTCAATTTGCCGTAGAGAGGACAGTGGCCGCTTCATTGGCAATCAGGTCCAATCTGACGAGTGCAAGAGCGACGTCATCGCTGCCAACACAACGAATCTTCTTCGTCTGTTATTTTCACGTTGGCCCTCTTTTTTTATCCGAGAAGAAAGTCTCTGATCGAATCGTTCCTTCTATTCCAGTTTGTTATATTGAATTAGTACTAAGCGAACGGTCTTAAAGTGTAATGTTATTATGGCCAATATGGCCCGCGGCGGCAAATTTCACCGGCGATCAATTCATTTTCTATCGGAGCTCTTGCCCGGAAACAACAACGCCAGGGGTCAAGTAAACGCACGCATGCCTATATATAAATAATATACGGGGACAGATGATTGGCTGAGCAAACAGTGCAGATATTGCAATGATAAATCACGTGTGCCTTCGAGAACTGGCTTTCCCGTGCGGGAGCCTCTTCCTTTTCTTTACCAAGCCGGCACACTCACACGCGCGCGCACTGCTCCCACTCACAATTTACGATGCCCAAGGTATTACCACATCCCGACGCTCGTGCTCGCGTATAGTTCATGATCTTTTAAAAGCGACTTTTTTCTTTTTGACATGGCGAGTTTTTCGAAAACTACCAGCATCGCGAGAGAGAGAGAGGATACGCTGTAAATCCAATCCTTCAAGCGCGAGCTCGTCGTTTTTGCACGGCGCGGCATTCGCGCCACGGACAGTCGTTTTGCATCGCGTGCGCTACTTCGCTTATTTCACCCGCGTGATGATCGATCATTCGATCGGTCACATAAACGCCAAGATGCCCGTCGAAAAACGATATCTAGAACGAATCTCCGAAAAAAAAAAAAAAAAAAAAAAAAATTGCTCGTATCTGTTATAACGCGAGGAAGAGAGATATTGCACAATAGATCTAACTGATTTATAACGGGACGTCGGTTACGTGATTAAATCCCGAGCGACATTCCTCCGATACTCAAGTTTTAATAAGCACTCGGACTGTTTGAAAGCTCGCGCGCGCGGCACGCCTGCGACTACCGTTTGCCGCGCGGAGAGAGAAAAATAGAGTCAGAGGATGCAGCGCGTCCGTCGAAAGGTGTATTAATAGGTTGACGGCACCGATATTTTCCCGGCGATCGGCGTCCGAAGAAAACTTTCGATGCGCCCGCCTCGAGTGGTGACCGCACAGTAAAGCTCTCTTACGCAACGGCATGGTCTTTTGTCGCTCGGATAACATCGCTGTAACGGTATTTCGATCTTCGGACAACGCGTTTTACTCGCTTTAACTTGACTCTTTTTTCCGCCTCTGTTACTTCTCGCCACTTTATTGTTCTGTGCATGCATGTGAGTGGAGCCGTACGATTGCAAAAAAAGAGTAATCGTCATGGCCGATATTGTTTTTTTTTTTTTTTTTTTTTTTTTTGTTTTCGTGCGATTTCAAAAGCAAGTGGTATTTTCCTCGGTCATTTCATCCGACGAGCAAGCATCCACGTGAAGCGAAAAAGTGTTAAACAGAGCGTTCTGATCGTTAGTAACGAGCGCTTTTTTTTGCCGAGATGAATTGTCGACCGTATTAGAACGACGTATTTTCTTCACTCTCGTGCGGGAAGTATTCCTCTGTGTGCGCTTTCTCAGAGAGCATCTGTACCGAAGTATCGGTATAACGAAAAGTCCGGCGTAAGTCTTTGTTCTCTTGAGAAATGAAGACAACATGGATGACACGTTGCAATGTCAAGGACAGTAATAGCCGCGGGGCGGGGGGGGGGGGGCAGTTTGCAGTGCCGGCGAAGCGTAAAACGCGCGTGCATCCCCCTATCGCGACTCGTTCTTTTATTCCCGGATTAATCGAAATTTATCGAAGTAGCCAATTTCGCTATCGCGCGAAAAGTAAAAAAAGGGTATTCGGCATCGCACCGCTAAAAGTACATGCAAGTAGCTCAATTACGCGTAATTCATGCGAAACCACGTAGCAGGGAAAGCAACGCGCGGCAATGGCAAGCGCTCCGCGAACGGCACGTTCCCCTTGCGCTCTCGCGTATAAACTCGTCGTATAAACTGCGCCCGTATCTGTCGCGAATTTATAATCGAAGCTTCATTCCGTGGCGCCCACGTTGACGTCGCGCAACCCTGCATCAATCAGCGCCTATAGAAAAAAACAAATTGTAGCCTACCATGCATCCCATCGACGAAGGCCAGCTCGGAAAATAATTGCACACCGCGCGACCAGTGTGCATCACTTTCTTGCAGTTTTTAACTGTCGGACAGGCTAATTACAAGCTCGTACTTGCTCGTTGCAAAAGCGTCCCTCGTGAAAAGTCCTTATAAGCTTCCGAACTTTTTGCATCCCTAACTTATAAATACAGAGCTTGTCCGACTCGAGCATCGCGTGTTTCCAGTCTTCGTACTTGTTTTGTTGTTGCTGGTGGATGCGCAAATAAGCTGCAACGCGTTTCGTTCGCTATCGGCTGTCGATGCACGATGTACGTCGTTGCAAATTTCGAGCAAAGATGATTTTGTCAAAATTACAATTTGCTAAACTCGATACCTGCTTGTGATACATTTAATTGAAATTAAAATTGCTAAATCGTACGCTAAATCTCACACTAAATTTTTCTTTGTCTCGGCGAGTCGGTAAATTAACGTGCAGACCTTTCATCATTACCGCTCGCATACACGATTGTTTATTGATTTAAAAAAAAATTGCCAGCAAGACAGTGTATACTTTGCGTATAAAGCTTTGATTACAGGTAATTACGCTGGATAAATGTCATCAACGCTTTTCGTTGGTCGCGGCTGTAAGTAGACATTAAATACAAAGCCAAAGCTGCAAGTACTTTTCATGGCTAAATTTACAGCAGCAGCCGCGACTTGTCGGCGCGACGCATATCCGCCTTGTCATTTCCGCGCGTACTCGGAGAAT